ACAGATTAGGGATTTAACAGAAGAGGCCAACCTGAAGCTATAAACTCTGGAGAACAAGCTTGGGCGATGACGATGATAGAGGACGAAGACACTGTGCGACGATGATGCTGCAAGAACCACAAAAGCCAAAGGGAAAGGCCGAAAATGAGCTGGAGATGGTGGATTATAGGTCTGCAAGTTCTGGGCAGAGCTTGGAAAGAAGAAGGGCGCCTGAAATTTCAAAACAAGATTGAGCGAAATGAACAGATTTGGGGGTTTTAAAGTCAAATATCTAACAGTTTTTCAGTATAATCGACAAATATTCTTCCCAAATATTTGATGGTTGCACTAAAAAACTGTTAAGTATAATTAAACTTGACAGTTCTCACAGAAACCGTCAAATATTATTTGAGAATACTTGACAGTTTTGTCAAGTATTCTTAACAATATTTGTTGGTTTCTCTTAAAACCGTCAAGTTTTCCTCACGCGTCATCTTATTTGACGGTTTTTGTTATAACGTTCAACTATGATGCATCAAATATTTGTAATTCTGTAGTAGTGAATTCACCAAACTCAAAGGGAATGCCTCCCTCAAATTTATTTTTTCTCAAGTTCAAAAGCCATAGCTTGCACAAGCTTCTAAGCTCTTTAGGTATTGGGCCAGTGAGATTATTTGCTGCCAACTCCAATTGCTCGAGTTGATCCAATGATCCTATTTCTATAGGAATCTTTCCTGAAAATTGGTTATGACTGAAAGAAAGTTTGTTCAATGAGACCATCTTCCCCAATTCTTTTGGAATATCTCCTGTCAAGTGATTTGAAGAAACATTGATTCAACCAGATTGGTTGCCTCTCCTATTTTTGGAGGTATACTGCCAGAAACGTTGTTGTTTGAAATGATGAACATCGTAAGATTTGGACATTTTCCCCACGAACGATGAAATCTGGCCATATAACTTATTGCCACTCAAATTGATGTATTTCATATACGGATACACACCAAAATCACTTGTTATATTTCCAACCAATTTGGTTATCATGAAGCGTGAGTCTAATAAGGCTAGAGTAATTTTTCAAGGTTCTTGGAATTGTTCCAAGTGAATTTGTTTTCAGCAGCACCCAAAGCTTCAAGTGATCCACCAAAGCAAATATTTTGCGGCAAATGGCCAATCAACTAATTCCCACGAATTTGTAAACTCTTCAAGTGGGTGAGATTTTGGAATGCTCCTATTGAGTTTGTTCCATCTTAATTCTAGGCTATTTAGGTGTTCCAAATTTCCTATAGTAGATGGAATAGTTCCAGAATGAGAGTAATAGGCAAGGGTGATTCGTTCTAGTGTGGTCAAATTTCCTATGGTAGATGGAATTGATCCAAAAAGAGAGTTACAACGAAGTTTGATAGTTTCTAAATTCACCCAATTTCCTAGAGAGAGGGCAGAATTGGTCCTGAAAGTTTGTTGTCCCCCCAACCTAACCAAATCAAATTCGTCGAGTTTCCAATAATGGAGATTGGTATTGGCCCATACAAGTTGTTTTCTGCCAAATCCAATTCGGTGAGAGAATGGAGATTTGCAAATTCACAAGGAATGAAACCTGACAGTATATTTTCATAGAGGTAAGGAAATTTCAAGTTGGTCGAATTTGCTAATGAAGAAAGCATTGCTCCAGTTAAGAAAGCTTTAGGAATGAGACCAGACAAATGATGTTTTTTGTTAAGTACAAGTATCCTTCTACTAAAGAAATCTTGTTCGAAATACTATCGGACACTAAATACAGGTAGATCTCCTAATAAGAATTCGAACCTTAATTCGCTATATTGTGAGGAACTAGCCATTTCTACTAGACCCAATCCTCATTGGTAGACCAGACAAATGATTTGTGTAAAGGGATAAAGTTCTCAAATTCCTCATCAAGTTACCAATTTCTGTGGGGATTCGCCCAATAAGATAATTCACACTAATTCCAAGCACATTTAAAGCAGTCAAGTTTCCTATTTCCGGAGGGATGAAACCACTCATGAAATTATGATCCATATACAATATAAGAATACTGGACAAGTTACCAATTTGGCTGGGAATAGTTCCAGAAAACTCACTTCTTTCCAGGGAGTGCAATGAGGATAAGTGTCATTATTCCAAGAAGACAAGATAGCTTGGCTTTGCTTACTAAGGCTGGCTTTCCACTTTAAAAGACCATTTGCCTTCCGATGAAGAGAACATCATACAAATACTGAACAGGAATATGCAGAGAACTCGCCATGATTCTGCTGGTGGAACGGACGAATCAGCCTTTGGAAACTCGGGGTTTGCTTTTAAATGCTGATCGAAGAGAGTGAGTATAAATGGATTATAGGTCTTTTTCATAGCCATAAAATGTACGGAAGTACGGATCATGATATTAAATATTGCATCTAAATTTGGTCCTGCAGTATAATATCCCAAAAATGACTAATTGGTTGCCTCATGTGAGTCAACGTTGTTCATAATGTGCCACGCATGTCCTATCATATATACTTCCTTGCAACGCATGTCACAGTCAACGTTGTTCATAAAATGTGCGGGATTAGGTTTTGATACCACGATTTTACCTAAGTTTAAATTAATTCCTATCCCCCTTTAATTATTTATTCTAGATTTTGTGCTTATTCCCTTTTTTTGATAAATTTTTTAATATTCCTTTTTAAAAATAATTAAACATTTAAGTCTATATTTTCGTGTGCCATAAAATCATATTTTTTGCCAATTCATTTCAATAAAAGCACTTTTGCATGTGCAATTATTGAAAAAACGCGAGTTTCATAATATTAAATGAAATCTACTTTATGTTACTTTTTTGTTTTAGTGATAGGGCGGCCTTTTATGTACAATCTTTTTGCTTAGTTTGAATAAAATTGTTTTTTAATTAAAAAATAAAAATTTACTTAATGTTTTGGAAGAGTAAGACTAAATGAACCAATTTCTCCTTGCCTTTTATTATTTGTTCTAGAATTTTTCTGTTAAAAATTATTTCAGTTTTTTAGTTAAAAACAGAATATTATATATATTTGTGTCCTAAGATTTTATATTTTTGTCGGTTGATTTAGATACGTAATCACAGAAAAGCTCATACATATTTTCATAAGCGTAGATAAATCAATTTCTATTGTCCACTTTTTTTGTCAATAATTTCTCTGGTCCTTTTATTATTTGTTCTAGATTTTTTTATTTAAGTGACAAATTCATTTTTATTTATATAATGAAAAATTTAAGATCATATTTTTCTAGCGTCATGAGAGAGTTAATCCATGTAAGCTGTATTACTTTTTAACTTTTGTGCATAATATTCTCCAATTGTGTGTAAGATTTTAAAAAAAATTTTACTTGCAAAAAATAAAAACAAAGCATGCGATAGATTAATCCATGTAAGTGATATTACATTTTAACTTTTGATTGAAGTAAAAGACATAAATCTGACATAAAATGATCATAGCCGTCTATTATGTTACATGAGTTAAAACGATAATGCTGAAACTAAACATGCACTTCAGTCTTATACAAGTCCCAAACTGATCATACATATGATATAAAAATCACAAGCTTAAAAGTTTAATGCCAAGTGCAACACTTTATAGAAGCAAACCCACCAACAAATGAAGTTCAATCCCTCATTAGTTGTCCAATTGTGATGGTGTGAAATTGATCCTCTCGATAAGATTTTGGTGTCTTCGCAAACTCCACAGATACTTTTTCCATGGTTGGACGAGACTGAGGAGTCTCATTCAAGCAAGAAAAAGCCATTGTTGCAACTAAAATCACATCATTTAGGATTGGCTTTGTGAGTGGAGAAATTCGTGGGTCCAACACATCACTTAACAAAAAATCATTATCAGTTGGTTTCTCTGCCAAGTATGAAATAAGCTCCGCAGGATGTGTACCCATAATAATTTCTAAAGTTAACACTCCAAAGCTATATACATCACACTTCTCATTCGCTTGCATGATGAAAGCAATCTCTGCAATTCATTTAATGTCACGTATATCCATAATATTGCAATGAGTAGTATATTTTTGAAAACAAAAAACAAAAAAGGGAGTCTTACCTGGTGCAGCATACCCGAATGTGCCTGCAAATCTGGTCATATTGCTTGAGTTTGGATTCAAAAATTTTGATGTTCCAAAGTCAATGATTTGAGCTTCTTCATATTTTGAACTTAAGAGAATATTCTTGCTTGATATGTCACGATGAACAATAGGAATTGAACAACCATGATGCATATGGAATAAGGCATTGGCCACACCTTTGACAACATTCACCCTTTTATTCCAGTCAAACTCAATGGCTTGTTCCTCATTCTTTAGTATGTTGTCCAAGCTGCCACCTTCCAAGAACTCATATACCAAAATGGAGAATTGTGAATTGGAATAAAACCCATAGAGCTTTACAACGTTATGATGTTTGATTTCTGTCAAAGCTTGAATCTCACTTGTAAAAGCTTTTTGGTTGGAGATTTCCCCACCTGGCATTGAATGAAGCTTCTTCACAGCAACAACGTCACCTGTAGGCAACTCAGCCCTATAAACATTTCCTTGGCCCCCTTTGCCGATGAGATATCTTTCATCAAATTCCCTTGTGGCTTCAATGATATCTCCATATAATATTTTTTTTTCAAAACTCCATACAAAATAAACATCTTCTGGTGGAGTTTCTCTATCTTTGTTTTTTGCTTTTGTTGCTATTCGAGAAAAAATGAAAGATGCTACTACAATTACTAATAACAGTATGACCAATGGGAGGAGTATCATCAACAACTTTTTGCTCTTATGGCCATGTCCATTTGTTTGAAAATCCTCACAAGGACTTAAACCAGTGACATTACCACACAAGCCTTTATTATTCCTCAATGCATCAAAGTTGTGAAAGGATGGTCTATTTGGAACAGGGCCTTCTAATTGATTGTATGATATGTCAACTGTAGACAAAGTTGTCATTGATCCACTGAATTCAGAAGGAATGGTGCCAGTGAGATTATTATGTGAGAGGTTCAATACTCGCAAGTTGGATAAAAATCCAAGCCTTGATGGTATAGCTCCAATTAGCAAATTGTCACTAAGATCAACTTGTTCAAGGTATTGGAGTTCACCAAACTCAATGGGAATGCTTTCATGAAATTTGTTTTTGCTCAAGTTCAAGACCCTTAAGCTTTTTAATTCCCCAAGCTCTCTTGTGATTGAGCCATTGAAATTATTTGCTGCCAGCTCCAAAATTTCAAGCCGACTAAGTGATCTTAGATTTGAGGGGACGTTACCAGAGAAGTTATTGTTGCTCAAGGAGAGTTCTATCAACATGATCAACTTCCCCAGTTGTTTTGGAATTTGTCCAGAAAAATGATTTGAAGACAAGTTAAGTAACCCAAGTTTAGTTGCCTCTCCTATTTCTGGTGGTATATCACCAAAAAGCTTGTTATTGTGAATAATCAATCGTGTGAGATTTTGACACTTCCCCCACTTGGATGAAAGGTGACCATACAGTTGATTACCACTAAGATCAATGTAGTCCAAATAAGGATATACTCCAAAAGCATCTGTTATATTATCAACTATTTGGTTATTATCAAGCCTGAGCCTTTCTAGACTAGAACAATTCTTCAAACTTGTTGGAATAGGACCAATGAAATGGTTATCATTAGCACTGAGGGCATATAACATGCCACTTTGACAAATTTTTTGTGGTAAAGGACCACTGAAATGATTATAACTCAGCTGTATGTTATACCAACTTGTCAAGTTATTCATTTCTCGTGGAAGTTGACCGCTAAAACTGTTGTTGTCCAAGTAAAGGACAGTGAGCTTTGTGATATTTCCTATAGTGGAAGGAATAAATCCTGAAAGACTGTTGTTTCGAAGGTGGAAATCATCTAAATTGATCAAGTTACCAATGGATGGAGGAATTGGACCAAAAAGTCTGTTACTAGAAAAGGACAATCGTACAAGATTTGTTAGGTTTCCTATAGAAGGAGAGATTGGCCCTGAAAGTCTATTTTCATATAACTGAATGTTAATGAGAGAATAGAGTTTTCCTAATTCAGTTGGAATAGGACCTGAGAGATTGTTTTGATAAAGATAAAGTACTTGTAACATGGTCAAGTTTCCAATTGATGATGGGATTCTACCTGACAAAGGGTTCCTTCCCAAGCGAAGGTCAACAAGATTACTCAACCATCCAATCTCTTCAGGAATGGGACCAGAAAGGGAATTTTCTCCAAGCCATAGGAGCCTCAAATTCCTCAAATTCCCAATTTCATGGGCAATTTTTCCTGTGAGATTACATGTGCTAAGATCAAGATGACTTAGAGTGGTCAGATTCCAAATTTCAGGAGGAATGTGACCCTTAATCGAATTATCTGACAAACTCAACATCGCAATACTAGACAATTTACCAATTTTGTGGGGAATGTATCCATAAAATTGGTTGTAACTTATGTCGAAGTGGAGGAGACTAGAAAAGGCAGCGAAGTTGAGAGTGGAAAGTGTACCTTGAAGACCAAGATTTGAGAGACTTATATTGGACACAGACATGGACTCATCACAAGAAATTCCCCTCCACAACTGCCTGCAAGGATTAGTATCATTCTTCCAAGTGGACAACATAGCTTTGCTTTGGTCTTTAAAGCTATCTCTCCACTTCAACAGAGCTTTTGCTTCGCTATCTCCAGCAGCAACAGATGCAAAGAAAGCAACGCAGACAAATAATGCTAGCAGTTTAGTGTAATCACTTTCAGACATTTTTTCTGGGTAAGGTTTTGTATAAGTAATATATTCAAAGACGGAATATTAGTTCACTGGGTGAGGTAGTGGCAACAATAATGGTGGTTATGTGAGGCTTGGGATGTTCAAGTGGATGATACAGATCTTCTTATATAGGATGGATTGGCCTTGCCGGGAATAACTTTCTCAGTATAAAATAATATTTTACGATAGACTTGCAAACGTAATTGACCTCAAGAAAGATTAACCGGCCAATATTGCTTCAACGATGCTTTTTTCATTTTATCCTTGTTTCAAGGGACATGATGATCAGGATCTTTTAAAGTTTTCCTTTCCTGAATTGATCATGTTTCACTTCATTTTCCATCCTCTTCCTTTTTGCGGTTTTATTTCATCTCTTAATTTTCAACGGCAATAGGAACTCATCATTGTTGTTAACAACATGTAAGTTGTCACAAAATACAAAATGAAAGGTTGCTTTTAAAATAAAATGATGAAACAAATATTTATTATCAATAAAAAAAATAAAAAATATCATGCTCATCTCCTTACATTAATATATAATCAGTAATAGATCTAGTTGAGTTTGATTTTATATCAGATTCATGTTGCAAAACTTAATTTATATGCATTTTGTGTGAGAGTCATGTCATCCTCAATTAACATTATTTTCTTAAAATTAACAATTTTTTTTGCCATTTCTTAAAATTAACAAATTATAAGTATAAGAACTAATATCTATAATTGAGAAGACTATAAAAACTCAATAAAAAGGAAAAAACTATAAATACTTAATTAAAAGGAGAAAAATGATCTGACAGTTCTTATAGTTTCATTAAATTTTGAATCAAATCCCTATAATATTTTTCTTTTTTACCCACTTCTTATTGTTTGTTCAGTTACTAGCATTAGTCCTTCCGTTAACTCTGCTTGCAAACGCCGTTAGTTTCAGTCAATAGAAGCTGATGTGGCCCTACATACGGAAAAAGATTGCACCGAAATTGAAGCCAACTCTTGAACCTCCTAGTTTACACAGTAGAATCAGCCATTGCCAAACCTTCCAAACCCAACAAGTCAGGCTTCATGAAGTCCTCCTCGAGTCCTCGTTTACCAGGGAAATGGATTGATGAGATATATATTAATGTATATCTTCTCTCTAATAACTTAGTTTTAAAAGCAAATCAGAGAAATGGATCGAGTGATTGCTAAAATTATTTTCATAATTTTAAATAATTTGATGTACCAAAGCTTAACTTCGATGCCTCGAAGTGAAGCGATTCACTAAAGCAGAGAACAGGGATAGTGACTGTTTCTGCAAGAGGACTTCATGGATCTGTTGGGTTGGTAGGTTTTATTGTATAAACCTTCACTTATTGCATAAGTGAAGGTTTGGCATTTGCAAATATTATTAACGGAAGCACTAAAGTCAGTAACAAAGCAACCAATAAGGAGTGAATGAAAAGAAAAAAAATATTATAGGGACCTAAATCGAAATCTAATAAACCTATAAGGATTGCCAAATTCATTTTCACAATTAAAAAGGAGGTAAAATTACAGAGACTTGCGTATTAAAACTAAAAAATTTAGCCATATAAATTTGTCGCATTGGGTGAGAGAATTGAGCATACACTTGTAATATGAAAGTTGTTGGGAGAATCTTAATTTTATTTCGTCATTGAACTTTATATGGAAATAAATCGAGTATAATTATTTGATTCCAACCAAATTCACTTTCATTCTCATTTCTATAATGCTCATGTCTCCATCTTATTAGAATTTTTTAACAAAGAAACCTAACGGGGCTTAGTGGAATCACTTTCGGACATGGTGTTTGTGAGAATTGGAATGTTAAGTATAATCAGGAATAGATTAAAAAGGTTGGGTGGCTATAACAAATTGAATACGTAAATTATGAAAAAAAAAAGTTGTTTTTTTAAAATTAAAGTCATCATGAGAAAGTTGGTCAGAGGACGGAAAGAACAATATTATAAATAAAAAAAGCAAATTAAAGGAACTCATGTTCGTCTTTTCATAGGTTTGTTGGAAGACTACGGAGAGTTTCACATTATTACAGTGATAAAGCGTGCATAAATTAATTCTTTAGACCCATTAGGGCTGATCTAGGCTAAATTAAGGTCCTAAAAACTGAACTAACCATGATCTAGGTGATAGTTCAAGGGTTAGTGGTTCAAGCTGAAATCAATTCAGAGTCAAACTGGTCATGATTTAAATAAAATAATTTAATTAAAGTATATAAAATATTCAAATATGAATCTTAAAAGAATAACGCTTTTTTAATAAAAAAAGAAAAAAATATTTAAATAAGCACATATTAATTCAAAAGTGAATGAATATCGATGTATAAACCAACATATGTAATCCCACAAAATAAAGTTATTGTCATTTTAAGTTTAATAAGTAGACAAAAATAAAATAATATTCATTAATACAATGGTCTAAATCTCGATCCCAACCTTAACGATTCTCATATCTATAAACAGGCCGGCTACGGTCCTGGCTCATTCTCCTGATTCTAGATGATCATTAATTTTCAACATGAGGATGGTACTGGCGTGTTGACTGGAGTAAAGTAGGCAGGAATTTCTAAAACGTGGGGAATTCCTGCTATGGAACTTTTATTGGTGGTGGTACTTTTCAGATTCTCATAAATCTGTTTTCCCCCTTTTCTTCCGTGATTCACACTTTTTTTCCTTGAAAAGCATATGTTAGTTCAATGAGAACATAGGAAAAACTGATTGGAGTTCCTAACTCGTGACAAGTAATAGAGTGATGAGAAAAGATCGTTACTATATAAATTTGTGTAAAAATCAAGGCCAGATAAAAGACTAAAGGTCCGTTTAGATTAGTAGTAAAAAAAATAACTTATTTACAATCTGATTTTTAGAAAAGTGAGATTAAGTAAAAGTGAGATTGGGTGATATGATTTATATTGGATTGACTTTTATAAATAAGTTAGTTTATGAAAGTAAGTTGTTTGGATTATGATTGGATAATTAATTCTAGTTTGTAAAATTACCAAAATGAGTATGACTTTTATTAAATAATAAAAAATACAAAAATTATCAATTTACATAATATAATGATTTTAAATTATTTATAAGCTCCTGTTGATCTCGTATATTTTTTTATTTTTTTTTAATTCATCATAAGGGCATATTTGAAAATAAAAGTATATTTCTGACTCATTTATTACTTAACTAATTTTAACTGATTTTTTGTCATCTACAAATGAGTTATTTGAGGTTTATGATGAGAATGAGAGAAGGTAGTAAATTTCTTAACTTTTTCTCTTCTTATGTTTCAAAAGCCATAAGTCATAAGCCATAAGTAGCTAATTTTTACTTATAGCTTATTGTGACTTTTTATGAAAAAGTCAGATTGCTCCATCGTCAATCCAAACACTAAATTCTTCAAACATACTTATGATTAAAAAAAAAAAAAAGTAACTTGTTGGCTCTCAATTTAAAACTAGAAATTGCTGAAAATAATTGATTCTAAAACTCTAGGGATTTAAGGGACTTAGGATTGTTTATCCCCCTTGCATATCATCATAACTTTTAATTCATCTCCTCTCAGAGATGTGTTTAATAAAAATATGTACTAGTCTAGGATTCAAAAAGTACTTAAGTCAAGATCAAATGTTTAATTCTATTAATAACTCAATCTTTTGTTATAATTAATAAAATTCAATTTTAAGTTCTAATCCTAAAGTGACTTGTAATGTTGGCCAGTATATCTCTATTTTACCAACAAAACTATCCATTCAACATGCAAACTTCAAATTCTTATACAATTTTACTCAAGTTCTATACTCAATGTAACTCTCTCAAGTATCAATCAAGTGAACATAATAACTAAATGATGATCAAGCGCCTAGAAGCATTAAGTAAAGGGTAAAATAAACATGTGCGCGCGCGCACATATCATTAATCACAAATAGATAGGAGTAATCAAGAGTTAATCTATACAATGGTTCAAAATAATCTTAGAAAAAAGTGTTGAGCTACTCATGATCAACCACAAGTCGCAAATACGGAAGAAAATCATGGTTATAATAATCCCTTGCTTCAAACCCTTCAAGCAACCAAACCCTAACACACAAAGCTCCTAACAATGCCCAAGAGCTCTAGAACGAAATAAAAACAATGCTTTCCTTTGACTTATACAACATAGGGAGCCTAGAATGCGTGATGCTTCAAAACACAAAGTTTTAGTGAATTCCAGTTGGCTATAGCCAATTACTCTGCTTTTTCTGTTGGTTAAGGCCAAGGGCTTTTGTTTGTTGAGGCCAACAATTTACTTATTTGAGTCTCTTCTTTACTTGATTTCTTTTATTATGCGATGGCTTCCTAAGCATTTTTCCAACTCCATGGAGAATAATATTTTCTTCAAATGTCTACATTGGCAAGCTCTAACCATCAAACAACACAAGACAAACCATGAAAGTGAAGGTTGATGAACTAGGGGCAAAATATTCACAATTAACAAAAAAATCCACATCTTTGGCCCAATTATATCAACTACGCATATTTTCCTATCACAAGTACTTCTAAATATGCATCAATTCAACAACAAGTATAATAACTAAAGGAAAATGTGATGAAATAACATGAATTTCACAATGGTAACAAAGTCCATTAATGAATATTTGGATCTTGAATTCATTAAAATGAAGCACTATCTACTAGACATCTATTTTTTTTTTATTTGTGGCCAAAAAGTACCCAATAAGGTGAAAAGAAAGTTTTATCAAACTGCTCTAGGACCAACATTATATGGTATAGTGAATGCTAGACTTTAAAGGGTCAATGTGAGCATAAATTGGGGGTAGCCAAGATGAGGATGTTGAGGTAGATGTATAGTCATATAGGAAAAGATAAGATTTGTAATGAACATATATACAAAAAACATTGGAGTGACTTTTATTGAAGAGAAAAGGTAGAAAATTATTTGAGATGGTTGGGTCACATTCAAAAAAGGCTGGTGGATGTGTCAGTGAGGAGAGTTAATCAAATAACATGGAATCTTGTGACAAGGGATAGATGATAGCCAAAGAGAACACTTAATGAAGTTATTAAATTAGATCTTTTGATCAACAATCTATCCAAAGATTTGGCCGTTAATAGATCACAATGACATTGTACGATTTATATAACTGACCTCACCTAGTGGAATTACGCTTTATAGTTGTTGCTAGTGTTGTTGGACTTATTGTTGCATATAGTTTGGCCCGAAGTGAAGGCCCAGGTTTTGAAGGGAAGAATTGAAAAGAAAAAGTGATCAAAGCACATAGGTTGGCCCAAAGCAAAGGAAGTTGCCGCATCAAAGCATAGTTTTTAGCAAAACGTTGAGTTTCAAATTTACAGTAGATTAGGGTTAGATTAGAGGCTTCATTCAACATTCTACAGATTTGAGACACCTTCGTTGACTTGGGAACAAAGAGAATGACTTGGAGTAGCATCTTGAAGCTATGCGGTGCTTGGGTTTGGGATTTTAAAGTTTTTGGATCTTGGAATTGAAGACTGAAGAGATTTGATCCTTTTCCTTGGTTTTTTTCTTGAGATTCCTTTTCCTTTTTACTACTATAGAATTATCAATATATGTTGGTTAATTTTTGACAGTTGACAATTGTTACTAATGGATATGTCATGTATTTTCTACATAGTATATATGATGCTTCCAAACAATCAAGTAAAGGTACCTTTACATGATGCTTTTACATAACTGTTGTTTTACAATAATGGTCATGTAAATATATTCTCACAATCTCTTGCATTAATTGAAAAGTTTAGTATTTGAAAACCAAAACCTTATTTGAACAGTGCTAGGTTAATAGATATATTTCTATTCTATCAATAAACCATCCATTTAATAGATGAAATTCTGGTCTAGCATGATCTTGCCCAAGTTCTACAATTGATTTAATTTTCTCTAGTTTAAGTCAATTGAATGAATCAATCCAAGTGGTGACTAAACACAAAGAAGAATTAAACTCATGGTAAAAATATGTATAATTATACATAACACTAAAGAGGATTAAAACAAGTCTTAATCCATATAATAGATCAAAATAATCCTAGAACAACCTAACTAGCCAAGCATGTTTAGTAAAGAGCCACAACTACACATATATATTGCAACCATTATAATAACAAAGAAGAAGAGAACTGAAAAAGAGAAAGATTGGAGCTCCAAATCTGTTCAAAACTCCAAGCTTCAGCAAAGATGTCATCCAAATTGGTGCCCAAGTTGAAGTATGGTTGAAAATCGTAAATTTTTCCTTTTTATATATCCTAATTTTTTTAGTTTAAACACAAAAGGCATAGTAGTGATGAGCCAAGCTCTACTACAGATTGGCTTATCCACTGTGGCAGATGAAACAAAGAGGGAGTATCTGAATAATGGGTAGGCGCTGCGGTGTGTTGGGCTATGTGCTGGTGCGCCCTTTACAAGGAGCACTTTTTGCTCTCTCCTACCTGAGTAGCCACGGGAGATAATACAATCATCGCCTTTTCCACTTGGTACTTCATTCTTTGCTGGCATTGCTTCCATGATTTATATCTGATCTTCCCAACCAAGCTAAGAGCCCCTTCTAAATCCATCTTCGAGCTCCTCTCTCTCTCTCTCTCTCTCTATATATATATATATATATATTTATATTATATATATGTATCCTTTTCCTACGCAGCAAATCCTTCAAGAATTGCACAGATAGTCCCCAAGAGGTAGTTCAAATGAAACCTCATACTTGCAAATCATATTCTTTGATTAAATGGAGTAAGTATGCACTGTTTGGCTGACAAATATCACAAAAGAGTATGAAAATGAGCCAAACTGGTCGGAATTTCAAAAGGTTATCACAAATATATTAGTTTTTCGGGAAGGATATATAAATATTTTCATTTACACACTTAGCATGCATTATGGCCACATCAGCATTTATTCCTTGCCACATCACCCTTTAAGGTGAAAATCACATTATGAAAGTTCCCTCAAAATTAAGGTTAGCCTGATCGCTGAATTTGGCACGCAAAGCAAAGCTAAAAGAAGACAAATTATAAACAATAACTCAAACGTGGAAAGAGCAACGCCTTAGGGTAAATGCAATTCCTTTCTTTGCTTCCACACAGTAGAGAATTTATACTGTGAAATTTTAAATTTTTATTTTTATTTTTCATTTTTTAATAGACATAGGATATAAAACAAAGAAGACTTCTTAACCTTACTTTGCGCTCGTCATTTTTTATTATTTTAGACTAATCACATACCCTTTATGAGTTGTAAAATACAATGGACAAAGGAAGAAGAGATTCCATAAAGCTAGTGAACTTCATTGATTAATATAACCCAAACATGAAAGAAAAGAACAAAGAAATAAACAAATAAAATACGCTCACTTAGAGATAATTGCAAAGATCAGATGTCTACATTATCCAAACTAGGCATTTTGTGCCCTGGTTCTCTATCGATTTATTGATATTATTATTTTCCACGATCGATTGTTGCTATTGTATAATAATTTATTGTCATGTACATTTACACAAATTTCAAGATATATTTTTTATTAATTACTTGTGTTGTGAATTTATAAGTTACTCTCAATATGTTTTTTTGCAAACCAAGGAAAAAAAACTTCAAACCTCGTTAATTCTACTTTAAAATGTAATAACTTTTCAATTTTATCCTTATTTAATATATTCATTTTTTAAGAAAATAACAATCTACACAATAATAAATAAAATAAAAATAGGACATTCATGACCAAAAGAGTACTTGTGAATCTTCAATTCCATATACTCCCTCTAGTCTTATATAAAAACAACAACTAAATAAACCACGTAGATAAAAATGTTATTTAAAATTAGTTAAAAATAATAAATGTATCATAATTGTAATTTATTTGTCAAATATACCCTTATTTATGAAAAGAGTGAGTGGGAGAATGTTTGATAACTAATGTCAATAATTCTTGAAAATCAAATAAACTCTACCACTTCGGTCTTGTTATAAGTTATTTGGCAAAAAATTTTTGGCCTTAAATATAATTCATTTGTAAGGCATTTAATGATCATTTTTCAATTTTTTTTCCTTATTCAATTCTCAAAAAGAAGAGAGAAATATGAGTGAGATATGAAAATAATTTATAAATGTAGAAAGAGAAAAAACTTTAATAAAAGATAAATTTAGAAAATTTTATTAATTTAATGCATTTCTTATACTTGAAAATGAGTTAGAAGTGACTTATTATACTCCTCTAATCCTAAATATAAGACCCATTTTATAGTGTAAATTACACTACAAAATGAGTTTTATATTTAGGATAGGAGGGAGTAATAAAGAAGGATGTAAGGATAGAGCAAATTTTGGATTCGGCAATAATTAACTTTCAAGAGTTGGTTTTTCTTTCTGAATATCTAACACGTTTGGTGCTTCTGCACAATATTTCCAACTTAAAATTGGGGTCATTTGGCAATCTTAATTGTAACGTTACGTAAGAAATTGTCTTTGGGGATCTTTTGTCTCTCGGAACACTTCAAGAATTTTACATTCGAGCCCCACTCCATCACTATATAAGAGATGTAATAAAAAGAGAAGAAATGGAGTCCTCATTCTCGCATATTCAGGTGAAGCAAAATGAGAGGCTCAACTATATTTCATCTTATTCTTCCGATATTTCTGCTATGCAGCTTCCTACAGCTGCAGCAATCTGCCCACGCCATTAAACAGGTAAGCATGCATAATTTGGTCCGTAATTAATATTCTTGTTGTCGTCGTCGTCAACTGCCTTAATCAATTTCATCTTGTAGTCGTACGTTGTGTACTTGGGATCACATTCTCATGGTCCAAAACCTTCCTCTGCTGACATGGACTTTGCCACAAGTTCCCATTATAATTTGCTTGCCTCCGTCTTAGGAAGGTGCATGCATGTTTCATGGACCTTTGTGACTCATTTACAAAGATACTCTTTCGTTTTCTCGCTTTTCTCTGTCTTTAAGGAATACTATGTTTATTTGAATAGTTATCCGTTTGATTTGACAGCTATGAAAGGGCCAAAGAAGCCATCTTTTACTCATATAACCGACACATCAATGGCTTTGCGGCATTACTCGAAGAGGATGAGGCAGCAGAGATCAAGAGTGAGAGACTCGTACCCTTATATATATATATATATATATATATCATAGATTTATGTAAATGATATATTAAATATTGATAGTCTAGATAGATATAAATTGGTTGGAAAATGCATGAACGCAGAAAATCCAAGAGTAGTGTCGGTTTTCTTGAGCCAATCGCACAAGCTGCATACCACCAGGTCATGGGGTTTTCTCGGACAAGAAAGAAATGGAAGAGTCAGAGCTGACTCAGCTTGGGTCAAAGGAAGGTTTGGTCAAAATGTGATTATTGGCAGTCTTGACACCGGTGACTGAAGCTATTAGAGTTTCCATAAATCTGTAAACATTTGCCACGAGATTAATGGATTTGATCCTCACACAATGAATTGTTTTCTTGGATATATAGGTGTTTGGCCTGAATCCCAAAGCTTCCGAGATAATGGGTACGGTCCCATTCCAAGGGAGTGGCGTGGAGGATCAAGATGCGAGCTTTATAGTCTGACTGGCCCACGTAACATAACCCTGTGCAACAGGTTTGATCAGTACTTGAGCTTTTAGTATTAGACATTATGATATGTACAAAGTCTAAACTGAACAAAAACGTTGAGATAACGGATGATTTGGTCTGCATGAGCATGAAATAGGAAGCTGATTGGAGCAAAAACATTTTATAAAGGCTACGTGGTAAAACACGGGAGCCTTGGCCTCACAAGTGGTATCAGTGCCCGTGACATGGTTGGACATGGGACCCACACCCTCTCGACAGCAGGTGGCAACTTCGTCCGAAACGTCAGCGTTCTCAACAACGGCAATGGAACAGCCAAGGGAGGATCTCCCAGAGCTCGTCTCGCAGTGTACAAGATCTGCTGGGGTCGTCACAATGCAGAGGACTGCACTGATGAAGATCTGATATCTGCTTTTGACCAAGCCATCGATGACGGCGTCGATATTCTCTCCGTCTCCGTTGGTGGGAGTACTGTGCCAAATGTGAATGACATGTTGACCAATGGAATCTCCATAGGATCCTTCCATGCGGTTTCCAGGGGAATCATCGTCGTCGCCTCTGCCGGTAACGAGGGACCAGAACTTCAGACCGTGGCAAATGTGGCACCGTGGATCTTCACTGTTGCTTCTGGCTCCATGGACAGGGAATTCAGCAACAATATTACTCTTGGTAATGGCCAGACCATTAAGGTTCGTATTGCTTCTCTTCTTTTGATAATTAGGATCAAACCCATTTCATGTCTTTTACTATTGAGTCCAGTCACATTAATCCTAGTCAACAGTCCATGTCAGCCTACTCAACACTGTTAACACCACATTAGCCTTATAGAAACCAACATTTTGGATAGCATAAGGATGAAAAACAACAGGGAAAAAAGATATATAGACTAAAACCAAAATTCATTTGAAGTATTAGGAACCTGGAATGGGTTGAACCGCTATAGTAATTACATATCGATTTTGTTGGTTTTCCCCTATCCAAACTGATCTGCCTGTGGGTGTAACCAGGGAACAAGTCTTGCCACAAACTCCACATCTCAGAGATTGATTCCTGTGGTCATTGCTGGCAATGTCAGGCTTCCTAATGCAACATTTCAAGATGCGTAAGAATGAATTAATGTTTCACATATTCATGATGTTGTCTCTTTGTATTAATCTGTCGTATGTTTCTCTCCTAAGTACGAATAATACTCCTGTATGTTGCAGTCAGCTTTGCAAAATCGGAACCCTTGATCCTCGCAAAGTAAGGGGTCGCATATTAGTATGCCAAAGAGGAAGGAGCCTGAGGCCTGTGGAGAAGGGTCAAGAAGCAAAGCGTGTAGGCGCATTGCAAATGATTTTACAAAATGATAAGCAATTGAACACACTTACAGCTGATCCTCAGGTTGTTGGAGCTTCCAATATTCCTCAAGGTGGAGGTCAGAGTGAGAGTAAAAATATTAGGAACTCGTATTTTGACAGAAACAAGTAATTATCATACATGTTTAACATTTGCCAAACCTTTTGGAATTGCTCTCAAAATATTTTCAAAACAAGTAATTATCATACACATATTGCAGGAGCCCAGTTGCATTCATGAATAATGCAAAAACATTTATACCAATAAGGCCGGCTCCAAGAGTTTCTGCATTCTCATCGAGGGGACCTAACTTGATTCTTCCCTCAATCCTCAAGGTTACCGATCTATTCTGACAGAGTCTTACTCCCTTGGTCATTAAATATATATTGTAATTCTCAACATTTTCTTCTTCTTATTCTTCTTCATAGCCCGATGTAACTGCACCAGGCCAGGGTATAATTGCTGCTTATTCATCTGCTGCAAGTCCCACAAACCTAGATTCAGATGAAGCTCGCTTTGACTATAATGTTCTATCCGGAACTTCCCAGGCATGTCCTCATGTTGCTGGCATTGTTGGTCTTCTCAAAACTCGCCATCCTAGTTGGAGTCCTGCCATGATCAAGTCAGCAATCATGACCACTGGTACGACATCTATCAGTCTGTTTTCATGTTCACAATATGATTTCTTTCTTTTTCTAATAATTGTCAAAAACTATGTTTTGTTATAGCAAGCATACTGGATAACACCAATAGACCACTTAAGGACGAACAAGATGGTCGAGTAGCAACTCCATTTCATTATGGCACAGGCTATGTCAAACCAAACATTGCAATGGACCCTGGACTTGTTTATGATCTCAAAACTTCTGATTACCTCAACTTGTTATGCTTTTCTGCTTACGAGGGAAGAATAATTGAATCCATTTATAATAATAAGCCATACAAATGCCCAAGGTCTTACAGACTAGAAGATTTCAACTACCCTTCAATCACATTGCCTTTTCTGGGTATGAAACTTACAAATTTAACCCGTATAGTCACAAATGTTGGGCCTCCAAGCACATATACTGTAAACGTGAAAGCCCCAAGAGGAGTTAAGGTTGTTGTTGTTCCATCAACTTTGACCTTTCAGAGGACAAACCAAAAGAAGAACTATATGGTTATTTTACAGTCATCAAGTTCAACTAAAACTTCAGAGCCTTCATTTGGAGAGTTGACTTGGACTGATGGCAAGCGCAAAGTGAGAAGCCCAATAGTAATCCTTCAACATGAGCAAATGGCGACGTAGACTTCAATAATGTTACCAATCCATATTGTGTTTGCAAAATAGTGTGAGGCAGTGTTAATTCTTACAATAAAGCGAGCTCAGATGTGTGTGTATGTACTCATCTTTGTCATTTTACAATAAATTAAGCAACTTTCTCAACTTCTGATTTTATATTTTATATTTTTGCTAGCTCCTTGAGATCAGTCTTCAAAAATTTGTTGCTTCTCTAGAGAAAAGGGATGCCGGCACAAGGATCACAGTTTTGCAGGAAATCTTACCAAACTTAGCGGCCCAAGAAAACCTAATTAGTGTGAGGCAGTGTTAATTCTTACAATAAAGCGAGCTCAGATGTGTGTGTATGTACTCATCTTTGTCATTTTACAATAAATTAAGCAACTTTCTCAACTTCTGATTTTATATTTTATATTTTTGCTAGCTCCTTGAGATCAGTCTTCAAAAATTTGTTGCTTCTCTAGAGAAAAGGGGTGCGGGCACAAGGATCACAGTTTTGCAGGAGATCTTACCAAACTTTGCGGCCCAAGAAAATCTAATTAGGCTTCGTGGGCTTAATAAATGCTTGCTTGTTCTAATTGATTTCTATGCCCATCCACCTTCAATTAGGAAGGTCTACCTTATAGGTTAGGGTAAGTAGGACCTGTTTGTTTAAGTTTAACGCAAAAACATGAATTTTTTTGGGCCAAACCCAAAAACATGATTTTGAGTACGTTATTATATGAGAGAATTGTTTGAAAAAAATATGTTTTCAGCTTATTTTGATAAATTAATCAAAATTAATTATCAAACTAATAAGTTGAAAACACATTTTCTTTCTATAATCCACGTGTTTGAATTAAAGTTCTCCCAATAATTTTTTATGTAATCTTACATCAAAATGTCCTTTTTCTTAATTTTAACCAAACGGGCCCAACGTTGTCAATGAGGTTACCAAAATAACAAGAAGCTGCTGTTTGAATCCGTGAGCTCAAACAGGAAACGCCACAAGCCCAAAACCACACAACGTTCAGCATTTTAGTTCCCTCAGATTTTACGTATAACATCTGTATGAATTTTCATGCAAGGGTTACTTAATTAATTTTAGTATATTAAAAAATTTAAATAGTTTACTTAATTTTGAAAAATATGAAATGACCCTTCTAAAATACCCTCATATGACATTAAATTATATATCAGTATATAAGTTAGATAAATTGGTTTGAAAGAAAAGATAAATATATATAAAAAATAAAATGGGTTAAGATGTTAGTAGGACCAAATCAACTTCCTATGTACATTTAAAATCGGAGGCGTATCACGTAGTTCCAGCCGTACTTAATAAAAGTGTTGTAATTTTAAGCTATATATTGAAATAAATAAGTAGCTTTAGATATTTTGACATAGAAAGAGGATAAGAAAAGAAAGGAATTGATTATCAGAAAAAGAAAATTAAAGGGAGGGAACCATAATGGGACTTGACTCATGAGTCACTAACTCACTTTGTATATGCTTCCCAGCAAGAATAACTTTTAATGGTTGAGACTAAAAGGGGAAAAGAGAAGAAACAACTTTAAGTCTATTACTACCTCCGGTCCTAATTATAGGAGCCAGTTGACTAATTTGAGGAGATTAAAAAAGTAAGTTGAGTTAGTTATTTGTCCTAAATAGGTGTTGTCTTTCCTAAAATATCTTTACTAATCAAATGTATTAATTAGAACTATCATTGCTAGAAAGGCTACATTGAAAAAATATATATAAATATGAGAGACAAAGTGGATTGAGATTTTATATTCAGGACCAAAATAAAAGTCAAACATGATCTTATATTAGGGAGTGGAGGTAGTATTATATTACCACATGAAGCCGGACCTATCGGCACATTTCATATCATTTCACTGTATCTTCTACGCCCAGAAAATTCCGAAGTTTCGTCGGTTGGAAGGCTTTTTTTTTTTTTAAATGGAAATGGACCAGGAACAGGAATCGAAAAGGCAGCATGAAAATGAATGGGAAAGAAGAAGTAGGGGAAAGAGAATAATGCAGCTTTTGTTGTTGCTAAAGCTATTTGCTCCCACTCATTATCAATGATTACTTCCAAGTTCCAACAAGAAATATACCGAAGAGTTGGCACTGAGCTAGGTAAAAATAAAAAATTATCATAAGCTTGGTTTAAAATTCCCCAAAAATTTTTTTTTTATGATTACATTAGCAAAAGAGAATAGGAATATTATTAAAATTATGTTTGATATATGACAGAAAAAATTAATGAAATGAAATCTCCATACACACACACACGACCTTTATTTGGGACGTATGAATTAAGCATGAAAAAGGAAGCCAGGAACAGTGAACAGACCATAATGCCCTAAAAATTAAACCAGATGGGAATCTGACAATTCCTCTCTCTTTCCATTTCCAAAGAACACATTCCTTCCAACCAAGTAAGTCTCAGTGATTTTTTTTTTTTTGGGAGAATTATATTTCTCTTTATTTTGTTTGACGTCAGTAGCTTTCACCACAAAATCGCTTGTTCTCTTTTAATAGTGATGGAAGGGATCACGATCGTCTTTAAAAAAAAAAAAAAAAAACTAGTGATCGCTTTTTCTTAATTCCTTGAAAAATAAAGTATGCGCAGTGCAAAACTTTAGTTCAAGAGAAAGAATGACTTAATCAAAATGACCCTTCTTTAATTTGTTGACTATAAAAGCAGGAAGGATGATCAGAGCAAATTGTGTAAAGACAAGAATAATATCGTCATGAAAATAATAATTTAACTGAGTCCATTAATAATCCAATTTTAAATTAATTAAGATAAGATGTTAGTGCTTTCACTCATGACAAAGCAATATTCCCAAAATCATAAGAGCCTGTACATAAATTCATGAGACTATCCATTGACTTTTCATTATGACCATCAAGTCTTAATGATTACTTGATTTTCATTGACGTACGAATATCGATAATAAAATTTATAACAAAAAGTATATTTATGCATTTTAAATAATGCAACTCATTTTTTGAACTCGTTATCATGCATAAGAAAACATCGGCCCTGTGGCGAATGCTCTTTTAACAATTTTTTTCCTACCACGATCATTGAGTATTTATGATGCTCTTCCTACCACTCACTCTAATCAATATTATTATCCTATTCACACTTTTTAATATAAAAATTAGTTTTCTCAAAATATAGAATTTCAAGTCACTTTGCCTCTCATCTCTTCTCAAAATATCTTTATTGATTCTCAAATGTTAAAAAATGCCCGCTGCATATATATTATGAGTGAAATGTAAGAAGTATTTGATGGTGAAAAATTTATAACCATGCCTAGAAACTTGAATCATATGAAAAGAGGGGGAAAAAACAAGGATGATGTTTAATTTGGATGAAGGAAGATTCTATAGAGATTTACACTGATGCTGACTGGCCATGTGCAGTTGAAAATAGAAAGTCCACCTCAGGGCACTATGCAGTTATTGGACAGAGTAACCTTGGTCATATGAAGAAGCTAAAAACAAAAAGTAGAAGTACGAAAAATTAAGGGTTGGGGCTCAAGAGATTCACGGGGGAGATGTTACTTGAATATGACTTCCCAACAACTCTTCACTGGGACAACAAAGCCGCAATAGCTTTAAACACTGTACAACATGATCGAACAAAACAATTGAAATTTGATAGCCATAAAAACGAGGCGGAAGGAATTTTGTACTCATACTATATCAGACCTATTATAAATGACTCATGAGTAGTTTTCCAATTACAATTTACGTAATATGAGATAACTAAGTGAGAGAAATTTTATCTCGATTTACATAAAATATGCTTATAAATTTTAAACGTTATGCCAAATAGGCCCATTCTCACTAGGCAGCGACCTGACCAAGGGATTATCTTCACATGTATTTGAAGGGTGCATAAGTAAGTTGGATGTGGTAAGTATACATCATCCAATTTAACAGGGCCGACACTTTTAGGGCATTAATATTTGATGTAAATATCTCTGATAGGGGATAATATAGGGTAAAAATAACAGCTAATTATTTTTCCATATTTCTCTCCCCCAATCCATGCTATATAGTGCCTCTCATTCGTTTATATACGCTGTACCTCCCTCTCTGAATAATACAATAGAGTCTCAGTCCAGAAATCCACAATTAAGCATACAAAATTAGTGAGACCACTAGATCGGATCACTACTACCACCATACTTGGAGTAGAAAGGATTAGAGTTTCATCAGTTTCAGACTATAAAATATAGCAAAGCAATCATGTTCATGAGTAGATCCAGCATCAACACCACAATACGACATGACATGAATGATGACGACATGACTATATGATTTTGCTCACCTAACTAAGCATCCAAATGGCCAAGCCTAAATATATTTATTTCATACCTCACAAAAAAGAACTACAAGAGTCCGCGCGATTATGCATGAAATTAACTTTCCCATTAGGTAATGTGGAAACATAATGCAAGAGGACCATTATAGATGAAAACATGATGCAGGATGCCTGCGAAGAAATATTTGTAATTTTCCTTGACGTAGCTGATGAGATAATTACCATCAACCAGATAAAGAAGGTAGCAAATCATTTTCTGAATGAAACACAAACACCAAGAATGTTACAATTACTTATAAGCAACGTAGCCAGCCCGAAAGTATACTTGTCGTCAAAACTATCTGAAGTCTCCTTACCTGATTAAAAGGTCCATTATAATGATTTTGAGGAGCCTAGTGATGAGAAATGCAGTCAAGATTATTTTTTGTGTTGAATCGCCTCATCCTAAAAACTCAAGTATTCCACAAGGATCACCAAATTTTGACATTGCAGATGTGCTGAGCAAGAAAAGAAGGTACTGCTGCATCTCTTTGGAAGAACCTTCTAGGTAATCTGCTGCCCAAAATTCAGAATGTGCCCAGTCTGAACCGGCAAATGTGTTAACTTCTTCTGGTAATGTGAACATGGTAAGTGTTAGGACGGTAAAATCAGAACTGTTAGATGAGGACTGGAAACTTGAAGG